AATGTTTCATCTTGATTAATGCCTATTTGTTTATCTAACAGTTTGTAAACACTGATTGAGGGTGAGCAGTCAGTGTCTGTCAGCCAGTCTTCGGCTAACTATCTTCAGCAAGGACATCATCCTGGTGGAATGTTCTCAGAGCCTCTGCTTGGAAGCTGTTCCCTGGCTGCTTCCTGTCCTGATTTTTATCCAGGATTAACTTGTTTCCACTTGCTTTCTGTTGCTTGTCTATATAATTGTTTTCCAACCAGGGGTTAGTTGTTCCCTGGCCTAACCTTCTCCTAGAAGTACCATCCTTCTGAATTTGGTGTTTAGTGAAAGTACTAACATATACACACACCTGGGAGTAACATTATGTATCTGTTAATACTACTTAGTATTTTCATGTAAGTACTTCATCTTCACTGCTTATAAGCTGTTTTTTAAAAATGAATTTTATCTGGGGAATATGCAATAGGGAATGAGGCTGCCAGAGAAAACTGAAGAAGAATGGAATTAAGGAGCATTCAAATTACCTGTATTTTTTTATTTAAACCAAAAGGCAACCTATAGAGCAGTGATGGTGATTTAACTTACACCCACACGGGTCATCTCAAGAAGGATCCCTGCAGACTTGAGAAGTGTGTGCATTACAGCATACCATTTATCAAATGCAAACACACTACCTAGGGTTTGCCAGCTCATAGGTCTACTTCCCCAGAGAGCACGCCTCCACCCACTTCCTGTCTCCTCCAGAACTGACACACCTCTCTGAGTGTCTCACATCTTCCTTTCAGACAGGAGATGGTGTGAATGATGCACCTGCGCTAAAGAAATCTGAGATTGGCATCGCCATGGGCTCTGGTACCGCCGTGGCCAAGACCGCTTCTGAGATGGTCCTGGCCGATGACAATTTTTCCACCATCGTGGCTGCGGTGGAGGAAGGGCGGGCCATCTACAACAACATGAAGCAGTTCATCCGCTACCTCATCTCGTCCAATGTCGGCGAGGTTGTCTGGTGGGTCTCTGATGGGGGTCCCTTATCTTCCTGGATCTGAAACCTGGGAAGTGTAAAGACCAGCTTTATGTTGCACAGTTTCGGTCTTTGTGCATAAGTTTGGCAGTGGATGGGGGGCACAGAGATCCTGTGACAGTCAGGACACTTCCACCCATGGCTACCTCAGTGTACACAGAAAAGAACACTTCTTAATGTGGAAGTGAGTTTAAATTGATCATATAAAGTGGCAGAAAATTCTAGGCCCTTTAAAAATTGGCTTCAATTAGAAATTTAAAAAAAAAAAAAAAA